CCATGGGTTGGCAGGATTCTATGACCCAAGGGGAAGGACCACAAGTACTACAACTTGGGCATGCTGCAGAGCCCTTTCTTGTTTCTTATAGCAACTCATGCCCCAGATCACAAAGCTATTGAGTTACAAGCCTTTCTGGGTCTCAGTTTACTCATTTGGAAAATTAACAGTTATAATATGATTTCATTGGGTTGTTGCAAAGATTAAATGAGTAATGTTTACGAAGCATATAAACAATGCCTGGTACATAATGAAGTCCATAATAGGAAATTCCATTTTTGTATAATTTACATATTTGCTATGATTTACAAATAAGAAATACAAGTATATATATTTATAAAATACAGGATTATGATTAAATTTTGGCAAGAACTTCATCATGCTCTATTTGAAAAAAAAAAAAAAGCTGGATATACAAGAGAGCTAACTTTTGACTTTTGACTGATGGGAGTACAGAAGCCAGTGAATAAATAATCTTAAATGAATATTCTGAGTGCATCCTAATAATAGTCCTTATAAAATCAAACATCAGTTGCCCACAGAGATGATCAACTCAGTAACTCTCCACTGAACTGGTAAATTCTCAGTCCCTATCTTGTTTCTTAAGATGATAACCCAAAGTTTACTACCTACAAGGAAAACTCAGGTTTTGTCCTTTTGGGAAACTTGGGCCAAGCTCAGGGAAGCAAAGACTCAAGATGGGATTCTGGTCCTGGACTACTCTAGTCATGCCAGTGGAGGCTGATGATCGCTGGTATGCTTTCACTGGTGGTGGATCTGAAGTGTAACTGGAAAGAAGTATTGGCCTATGTGGGGATTAGTAGCATTTAAAGCATGTAAGTCAATGGTAAGTTTAAGGATTATGGGGTTATCTGGCTTTCAAAACTGACATTAGATACCTTGAAAAAAGAAAACTACCAGGCTCAGATGAACCAACTATTAACCCCAAGCTTACTATGAACATCAGAAGGCATCCATGGCAGTGTTTAAAGACCATCAGTAGTTATGGAAAAAAAACACTATTCAGGATCAGTATTAGGATTTGCACAATAGTAGCAGAAGCACAAAGCTTCTGCATTTGAATTGAAACCCTAAGACCTGGAATGAAAACATTTGACAGAGCAGCTAGGCAAACTTGAATTCCAGAAATTGAAGCCTCAAAGTCCTTTCCCTTGATGAAGGAAAAAAACCTCCCTTTGCCTAGATAAATCACCTGTAAAGTACCTCACAAGAGGAAGCCTCTCCCCTTTAGCTGCTCTTCTCATTGACTGGAGACCAGTAATTATGACCATATCACAGTGCAGCCTGAGCAGAGAAACATAGTACCTAGACCAGAATAAAGTAATGTTCATAGCCTGGGCTAACATTACGACCAGAAACTGCAGAATCTTCAATGTGTGCACCATGGGACTCAAATAAGACTACATTAATTGATATGGTGGCACTATCTAATGAATTAAGATTTAAAGTCTCAGCAAGGAGTCCTGGAGACCATTCTAATATACTGCTGGCATAACACCTTGCAATTCGGTGTTGCAGGTTCTGTTCCCTGGGAAGCAGAATCTAACAGGGAGATTAGTGGGCAGGAAATTTACCCGTGTTCTTCGAATGAAACAATGAAAGGAAAGGAATTGGGATTGGACCAAGGGAGGAGTCCAGGAAGACAATGCAATCTCAACAGAGGTAACCTGGAAACTCTGAAGACTGGATGGTTCTTCAGAGTTGCTAAGGTGAACTAAAACAAAACTTTATAGCCACATATGTCCAGGCATTAGATATAAGCTGCCTTCAGGAAGGGGTCATTTTGGTCTTACAGTCCTGTGTATGAGCAAAGACGTGCCATATTGCCATGAAAAGACAGAGTTGCTGTTATAAAACACAAGGCAAGAAGGAGCATGTCTTGGTTCTTTAACAAGGAACCATGACCCAACAAATATAATTTCATATAACTTGTTATATTGGGAATTAGATACTTAACCTCAAGAAAGAACCCTAAAACAAATGACATGTTGGTATGAAGAGAGGTAAATTCTGGAACATATGATGGGAGAAGGAAAATGAAAATATTAATCACAGCCTCAACCAATTGCAGCAATAGAATTACCTTGCTCCATTACGCTTTTTGTTGAGATTACAACCTGTCAACCTAGAAGTCTGTGATGAAATGGACTTAACACTGAACCCAAACATGTCTCACTGGTACAAGAGGTACAACATGTTCAATTCTGTGCCTTGCTCCACACTCAGATCACTTACTTACCACACAGGTGTAACCTGATGTACTTTGCCCCAGTCACACCAACTATTTCTCATCTTCTTCACTCTCAGTCCTACTTCCCCACTATCTCTATATGGGATACCTGCAGGAACATCCTGAGTGAATTTGATACATGCACAAACATGGATGGGAAAAGGAATTAACCCCTATGGGGTATCTTACCTCATGGGAAACAGAATCCACAAGTAAATTCTTTACCAGTCCCTCATAAAGACATTAGGGTAGCTTGTATTTAGTGCCTCAGAGGGTCCTTGGCAGGATTATACCCCACAGCGGTGATTAACCCAACAATGACCCTTGAATTGGCTTTCCCTCATTCCTTATTTTTCCTAGCCCTCCCTCCTTTTTTCTGGATCACTTACCCAAATAAACTACCTCTACACAAGGCCTTCTCTAGTGTTCACTGTTTGTGGGAGCCATTTCAAATTTTTTGAAAGCTTTTTTAAGCTTTATTTGAAAGGCAGAGTTACGGGAGCGTGGGCGTAAAGACAGAGACAAATCTTTCATCTGCTGGTTCACTACCCAAATGGTCACAAAGGCTGGAGCTGGGCCAGGCCAAAGCCAGGATCCAAGAGCTTCTTCTAAGTCTCCCATATGGGTGGCAGGGGCCCAAGTACTTGGGCCATCCTCCACTGCTTTCCCAGGCACATTAGCAGGGAGCTACATTGGAAATGGAACAGCTAGGACTCAAACTGATGCATACATGGGATGCTGACATTGTAGGTGGTGGTTTAACCCACTACGCCACCATGCAATTTCTTATTTCCATTTTAGCATGAGCATGCATTTTGCCCAATGGTATATGATGGGATGCAAGGGTACTTCCTGAATGTTTTCCAGGTCCTGTCTCTGAAGCATCAATTTAGAGAGGGAGAGAAAGAAGAAAAAGGAAAAAAAGAAAAAGTTTACTAGAAACGAAAGACAAAGACAATAGCTGCAGCTGGGGGTGAACCAGGTCAAAGCCAGGGTCTCCCACGTGGATGACAGGGGCCCAAGTACTTGCGTCATTCTCTGTTCCTTTCCCAGCACATTAGCAGAAGGCTAGATAGGAAGCAAAAAAGCACCCCAATATGGGATGCTAGAGTCGTAAGAGGCACCTTAACACCCTGCCCCACAAAGCCAGCCCCCAGAGTATATTCTTAATAAAGCAGGTATCTTCAAACCTGGAGAACTTCAAGATCCACTTCTTTATGTGAGTGGCTCTACTTTTGGCCAACATAAAGGGTTCGGTGAAGACAAGGCCTTCAGGGTTAATGTCAGGTTCCCATTGGGTCCTTGGAAAAGAAAGATAAATAAATAAAGCCAAGTCTACACGCCGGTCCTTGGCAATATGTTTCAAAGTATCTGCCATTGTTTACCTCAAGCACTTACTCTACTAGACAGCTCAGTTTTCTATTGTTCCACTACCTTCAATAATCTGTTCTCAATCACACCGTATCTGAAAATCAGTTTTCATTTGAATATCCTTAAACATAGTTTACAGAACTCCTAATTATTTCACTGGGTGCTTTTTCTCCTCTTCCTCCCAACCCCTCATCCTAAGGTTCTAAGATATTTTTATTCTAGGACACGTCACTACATTCTCCTATGTCAGAAATAGAAGATTACTTGAAATATGAATTCATAGAGGACAGGGAGCCGTCTTTCATCTTTATGAGTGTACGTAAATCAAAAAAAATGAATTAAAATTAGTTTTAATTCACAAAATCCTTAAATCCAGGCATGTTTCTTTAAAAAAAAAAAGATTTATTTATTTATTTGAAAGTTGGAGTTACACAGAGAGCAGAGGCAGAAAGAGAGGTCTTCCATCTGATGGTTCACTCTCCAGTTGGCCGCAACTGTCAGTGCTGCGCCAACCCGAAGCCAGAAGCAAGGAACTTCCTCTGGGTCTTCCAAGCTGGTAAAGGGGCCCAAGGACTTGGGCCATCTTCTTCTGCTTTCCCAGGCCATAGCAGAGAGCTGGCTTGGAAGTGGAGCAGCTGGGTCTCAAACCAGTGCCCATATGGGATGCCAGCACTTCAGGGCAGGGCATTAATCCGCTGCTCCACAGTGCCAGCCCCAACTCCAGGCATGTTTCTTTCATAACATGTGTTTCCCATGAATTCTATGAAGATCCCTCATATAGTTCCTGTAGTCCCTTATTCAGATGACACTTGAATGTCTATAGATTGTTCTAGATCTTGATAGATCTAGTTCTGAGTTTGGTCAGTACTGGAAACTGAGCTGACCCTTTCAATGGTTGTCTGTCAAGATGGGCTAAATTATGCCCTAATATACAAACCTTCATTTCGCAAACACATTGGGGTTTAGCAGTCCGTTCTTATACTATGTGGCCAAAGTTCAGCAGGGGGATTATGTAGATCAAAGTCACTCAAGGATCTAGGATTAGAGGTTCCAGCACAGTATCTTCTGCTATGATCACCAAGGCAAGACAAGTTAATAGGGCAAATTATACACTGGCTCTTCAAGTTCTACTCAGAAGGGATGTTATGTCCTTTTGCTTGGACTTCTTCAGGCAAATCAAGTCACATAACTAACTTTGGAATCTATCTAAACAAAGCACTTAAGTAGTGATGTAGAAAAAAAAAAAAAAAAGTAGCTTGAATTTGTAATCGTTTCCTGAATTACCTGGGCTCCCTACTTCACTTTAGAAGAGAAGTATCAACCAAAAAGCAGAAACTTAAACTGTACAAATAAAGAGTCAAAAACCAAGACAAAAGTATGCAGTTGCAAAATGGCCATTTATTGCCTACAGGGAAGGGAAGGGGGGGTGGAGAGATAGGGAAGTACACAGGTGCAAGGAAACAAGCATATATTTAGCCCTATACATCATGTGTGAGCAGTACCCAATCTCCAAAATGGAAAAAAGTATTTTGTCATCTGACATAGTAGTTAAGGTTCTTAAGCACCTCCCTTCTGAGCTGCCACAAGATTTAAAAGGCAGGACTGCTTTGTTTAGTCAATGTTCACATTAATGAAAAAATACTACCACCCAACTGTGTCCTTTTGCACGCACATTTTGTACAGTGTCTATTGTGGAAAAACATCTCAGCTGAGCAGTTTGGTCAAGATTCAGACCGCATCAATTGTTTAACTGTAATAAATAGAAAAATAAAGCAGCTGGTGATTTTGTCAGAGAATGTGTTCAGTAAGAGCAGAACCACTTTCTCCAAGGTTGACAGAGTGTTAAATGGTTAGAACACCACAGAATCAATCTATTAAACATTAAACACTAGCAAGCTACAATTACATGGCACTTAATTAAATCTTCTAATTTAAAAAAAAAAGAAAAAGAAAATCTTAGATTTTAAACTGATTATCGGAACACAATAGCAAGTTGATTTAATGCTTGGCTTTTTCTTAGGATAAAAGCAAAGTAAATATACAACCTAAAACAGCAGAATTTTGTTCTGGAATAGAATCAATAGAAACTACCAAGTATTCAGGAAAAAAAACTACCAGAAGATCTTGCTCAGTTTTAAAATCATGTGCTTTGCTTTCTGACCATTAGAATTAATTATAAAAATACTTTACAGGCCACAAAATGACTCAAATATATGAAAAATAAAGAACTGTTTAACTTAATGCCAGGAAATGAAAATAAATGAACTCTTCCTCCCCCCGCCCCCGACTCAAACAGTAAATTGAATAGAAGAGTATTTCATCCATGGACAATTAGTTGGCACTTGTCATATGGTTGGAAAAAATTACAACAAAAGATATAAATTAATCCATGGTGAATTTGACCATCACCCTCACCCTTTCAGAAAAAAAATATGAATACATACACACTTTTTCTCTTTAAAAAAAAAAAATACTCCATACTATGCCACTCCATAGACAACAAAACTAAAGCTGAAATGTTCATCCTCCTCAAATACTCCAAAGTATTCCTATTGAACTCTGTACCCCAGCTTCTCCTACATGAAAGATTGTTTGCATTTGGACAACTGTACGAATGCCCATAGTGCACTTCTCAGTGCTGCTGGTGTTTAAGAAATTTGCCACTCACAACACTGAATAATTCCAGATCCAGTGTGCAGTAACACAGCCATCCAAACCCCTCCCCCCCAAAAGTTGGCAGAGCACCGCTCAGGAATTTCACAGGTAGGGAATATATTTTTAGCAAGTTAAGCACAGAAAAATGACAGTACAGTTTCTGAATAAATACAAACCCAGTTACTGCATCACTTACTGCTTCAAGATTTAAACAAGTAGCAGGATACTAAGTTTGTTCAGTAAGAAGCAAAGCCATTGTTTGATAGATACATCAACACTGAGTCAATTCTGAGTTCTCACAACTACAGGTAAATTAAACAAATGTGGTACAAAAAACAATTGACAGTTTGAAAGAAAATACAACCGTAATTCAAATCTAACTGAAAACTGAAATAGACAAGAAAGGATCGCTTCTGAGAGGGTTACCATGATTCTTCTGCTTTAGAGTTTAAAATGACAGACACACAAAAAGGAATATTACCTAAAAATGGAGAGACTGTTAAAAATAACTGGTACTAGGTGCCAAACTTAACCTTCGGAAGGATTCTGAAAGCTGAATATACCATGCTACCATGCCAAAGAGTCATATCACTTGGCATCTGCATATCCTTTTCATATGTGATTTCTGAGAACAAAATTTCGGTTCAGTGCTATAGTTTATATGATGTGACATAAAAAAAAAAAAACACTTAATAGAAATATCCTTATTCTATATGCTTTGAAAGTGAACTATTTTACTTAAAAATACTCCATTACTTTGATGTCATGTTGGCTGAATGAAAATCTCAACATGTTTGTTTTTCCTTTGGTTCCAATAATATTTCAAGTCCAACTAAACTTATGCCAAAAGAAATTACTAAGTTAATAAAGCTTGCTTTTCCTGGTATCTCCCTATTTCTTGTTGTAGGAGTTGTGATTTAACAGAGAAGTTTATATAAAGATGGTATTTGGTTAAAACAAAAATTACACATGCTCTCCCCTTATCACCTTCCTGAAAAAAACTGTTTTGGTTTTCTGTTTTTCTGTGGATCTTTTTAGTTTCTTTCTGCTACTCAGAACATCGTGCAGTATACATGTAAGGGCTTTCTTTTATCTTTTCTTACACTTATGCTTTAGATGGTACTTTTAAAATAAAAATGTATATATCATTCTATAAAATGGAAGATGTTCTTGGCACCCTGCTCTTAAATAGGTCACAATATAACTTTGGTAAACAAGCAAGGTTAAAAATGTACTAATTTACTTATGTTGAGTTTAAAATTTGGTGATCATGATACTATTACAAAATTAAAACCACCCAAAGCAAAGAAAAGCATAAAAGTTTCATCTGTCTACAAATTCAAAACTCTTAACTGAACTTCCTGACTTAGAAGAGTCATTCTCACTTCCCTAATGTCTTCCTACAACTCACAAAATTTTACAAATGTGATACACAAAAGCAAAGGGGTAAATCTTTTCTAAAGAGGAGGACATGTGAAGAAAAAGAAAACCTTACAAATGTGAGAATTCACATTTCTGTCAAAAAATATGTATGAACACTATTTTGAATGTGTCATAAACCCTTTGCTTGCTATAAAACCATCACTGTAGCAAAAACTGATGTTTTCTGTGATCAAAGCTACTTATCAGTCAGCATCTTTTGCAAAGCTTGTAAAGTATCTCAAACTCAGAACATAAAAGCTTAGAAGTAAGTTTTGGTACATAATCAACTTCTATCACTAGGAAATCTAGCCTTGTATTAAGAATGACAAACCTTATATCTGATTCCTTCAAAAAACATTTGTAACCTGTTTTTCTTTTTTCCTTGTGCTTTCTCCACTCTTTGTTGTTTGATACTGAAAGTACAGATGGCATTAATGATTTTAGAAATTCTTAGAAATGAAAATACAAAGTTTCACACATTTATCCTTACTTAGGAGACAGAATTTTAAAATGGAACACAAATGTGTTTGCCCATTTCCAGTTTGAATATTGCCAAACTCTCAATTCGAATATACTTTATAGAATCAAGTGATATGAGACTCAGATATATTTCCACTTTCTCCCTTGCTTTTCTGTGATTTAATATGTAACTTTAAGACAACAAAAAGTAGGGGCAAATAAGAAACAGCTTTATATTTCTGCAAACTGTAACATCAAAACACAGTGGCTTCTTCTAATACATTCACATAGGATGCTTATTGTAAAATTAAATATCTGCTTATGACTATCCGCAAAGAAACATCAAAAGAAAGAATTTGGAACAAGGCAAAAGAGAGGGAGAGAGGGGGTGCAGAAAGCTGGTCTCAGAACCCATTGTGCCATACCTGACTTTAACATGTGATATTCAAACGAGCGTTCACACGCCTTACATCAAAGAAATGAAACAAAAATATTCAGCTATGTTGTACAAAATTTTTTTACATAAAACATCATAAATCTTGAACAGATTTACTATATCTGAATTCTAAAAAGTTGCCTATAGAATGGTGCTGGGATTCTGTTCTCTGCTTGCTTTTAGGCAGTGCTGTTGCTTAAAAGTTGACACCAGGCACAATATTTTAAAACAAAGTCAACAAGCAAGGAGCAGTAAGAGGATTTGAGCCTTTCCCAGATGTCAGTCCTGAGGATGCTGCAATATTCCCCATCAAGATGTGTAAAGCTATGAGGCGGATACTGATGCCTGAGAGAGTGGGTGACTTGACGTGCATTTTATATGACTGCTATAAAGCAAACAGTGCAGTTTTTCCTTCCTCAAACAACACTGTTTTAAGAAATTTAAAGAACACTCCAGTTCTTAGACAAATACCAGAAATTATATTGAACAATTTTTTAAAAAGTATCACATCTAAAAATGCCCCCATTTTCTTTTATCTTCAGATAAAATATGTAGCAGCCCAATGGCATAAAGCTTATTAACTTATTCTGAGAACTAGAAAGTATATGAATACATATATTTTACTTTCATTGAATATAAACCATATGTCATTGTCATTCACCTCCTTCTTTTGGCTTCTCACTGCCAAAGTTCCAAATGGCATGCGTTTTAACAAGACAATGCTGAGGAGAGCAGCATTTCTGATCATCTGAATTGGCAGCTCAAAACAGATACCACTCCTTTTACAAAGGGAACAAAGGGTGAAGGGTGTGTGAAACTTGGGCAGTGGGCTAAAGGGAAACCGTGCACATGAAATTTGGGTTACCATGCCCCAAGTATGTGTGCCACCCAAAACATAACACAATAACCTACTTCAACAGAGCTACTACCAACATTTACTAAAACCACATTAAAAATACACAGGATAATGAATGGTTTGAAAGAGTGCATTTGGAAGCAGAGAGAACCCAATTACACACCTTCCTGCAACAGAGTGCCTCGATCATACACAAAATAAACTTAAGCTGTTTACAATGTTTCCCAATTTTTTTTTATTTTTCCCCTCTACATTTAACTATTAAAAAAGTTTTTTTTATTAATAAATGGGCTCCTCTGTGGTTCATATACAATCATAAGTGAATTTTAAATTCCATTTTATACAAACATCTCAAAAAATATCGGGAGTGAAGTATGGTAGGAAATATTGCTCACATTGCTAATTAACATGCGTATATGAAAAGGAGGAAAATGTTTTGTTAGTGCATATACCTCCAGAGCAGAAAATACACCCAAAACAAAAGATCTAAAATAAAACATACAGTAGCTGATTACAAAAAAAGGTAATGTCCACAAAATTAAGTTTTTCATGCTATTCTACTTTCCAGTACTATGCTTCAGGTAATCAATTTGCATGGCTAGATGTTGGATGCTTGAGGTATATAAGAAGGGATACCTGCACGTTGAGGAAAATCTGTCATCTTAAAGGTTGTTCCTTTTCACTTGTTTTTTTATTTTCTGGTTCTTTAAGATTTTTAAAAGAATATTTACATCAAACTTCACTGAACTACAGTTACCTTCCAATTATTAATAGATGACAACGCCTCTATCACTAGGCACTTTTAAAAGGGAGTTTAGGCTTTACAGAACCCTCCTGATGCAATCCCATAAATGATATTACATCATCCCACCACCCTCATCCCACTAAAATTACCCTTTGGGGAAATATCTTATATAGCCTGATTAATTTACTAAGGAAGAAATCAGTATAAAATGACCAAAGGAAATGCATCATTTAAGACTAATAAAACAGCCTAAGTTTTTAGGTTTGAAATAGGAGACAAATTGTATATATTTAAAACTAATTAAATAATTTAAATTTGACCTGTACTTTATATATTAGGGAGACACAAATATAGGCTATTTTCTTTTAAAATTTCATTCACATAATGGAAAATTTCTTGTTTATTAAAAATATCACATTTTGAGACTAGAAACAGTAAAGTGCATGAAAAGTTTAAAATATAATTTCAGAAAACTCTTTATAGCAGCAAAAAAGCAGAATAAAGAAAAACTTAAAAACACAGACACAACCTTTTCCTGTTACTGTGCCATAATTAACATCAAGTAGCCAACTAATTTTTCCCCAAAAAACAATACTATGTTCACTGCCTCTTGAGTCACAGATTTTCAGCTAGCCCTTCTTGGGCCAAAAAGAGATTCCAACATATTTAACGGCATCAACAGTTGGGAATAAACCAGTAGCTTCTTAATTCAACCCTGACAAACAACGGAAACAAAGATTAAAAGCATATGATGGCCATTTGGCAGCTAGAGTCAGGAAAAATAATTCAACGTTTTCAACTACTGCCTCAACTCTCTCTGTCCCCCAAATCCTTTCCAATGTTACTGCAAAAAACCAAAATCAACAAGTTAATCTACTTTGGAAAATAAATGAAATATTTGTATGTTTTTCCCTTCTGAAACTTTATTTGATCAAGGCCTTTTAATTCAGCAATTGGTTTCTGAGATTTTGTTGTTGTTTTTAACACTTAACTATAATGGCCAAAATTATATCGATGATGTAATATCTGTTTTCCCAATAAAGCTGGACAGAAAAGGTAGATCAGAATAATGAAAAATAATAGACAGCAATTGTGTGGGCATCATAAACATACCGAATTCTATTTTGAAGACATGTGGCAGTATAAATTACCTGTTGTTCCCTTCAAAGTAAATTGGAAAGACAGGTTTAGAATTAATACTTCTAAGAAGACAATAACTAATAGAAATAAACAAACAAACAAACAAAAACCCAACAACAATTGGCCAAAAAACTGTCATGTGCTGTTAAATGCTTGATGCAAAATGATTTGTACAATCTTTAATTTCTCAAATTTTCTTATTATGGTTAGAGGCTATCTCATAGTTCATGTACAGATCAAGCAAATTTAAGTGCTTTTGTTAATGTGCAAATGACTTGGTGAGGAAAAAATTGGTTTGTTATAAAGAGACACAGAAATTCAAGAAAGCTTTCCCTGCATGGCATGCCATCATTCAGCTTAAAATCTGTATGTATAGTCTTAAAAAACTGCCTTTTACAAAATTGGTTGGCTCTGTTTTGGAAAAACAAATACCCTGTTTTTGGGCTTCAACCTGGTGCTTTAAAAATTATGGATGCTGTCTCCTAATACAATATGAAGAAGGACCAATTTTAAAACATGTAAAATTAAAATTTAGAAACAGTAATACTTTGGTTCCAGCCCTAGTGCCAAATGATATCAATATGCACAAAAATGTACAAAGTATTATAGCAAACACATAATGAAAGGAACCTGAAGAAGCAGCTTAAGGATGGCCATACTTCACTCCTACATACTTTGATTTACAACTGTACAGGTCCATAGCAACAGATCCCCGTCTCTGCGGGGCAGTACTCCACTACCTCCGATTCGGCAAGTGAACACCATTGACAAGAGGCAGGAGTGGAGGATGGAGTTCAAGTTGTGTTAACAGTGAGAAGTGGTCTGAAGGGATGTGAGGGTGTGGACACCCAGTGATGTTGTTCTCAACCAGCCATTGAGGATCTAAAGGCCCCAGGACACCAAGTACGTTCATATGAGTCTTGGAATAGAAAATGTAGTCAATCACGCCCTGCAAAGACAGTGGGGATTAGAAAAGAAAAAACAAAATGCTTAGAAAAAAATGGAAACACTCAAGACTTAATAAAGAACAATCCATAGTTTGTAAAACCACATCACTGTATAACCTGTACTTCTGACAGATGGTACCTGTTGTCTTGGCAGTGTTTCAAATAAGGCTCAAGTCTTCAATATGTATTACATGAAAGAAACATAGCTCGGCCAACGCCATGGCTCACTTGGCTAATCCTCCACCTGTGGCACCAGCACCCTGGGTTCTAGTTCTGGTTGGGGCGCCAGATTCTGTCCCGGTTACTCTTCTTCCAGTCCAGCTCTCTGTTGTGGCCCAGGAAGGCAGTGGAGGATGGCTTGGGCCCTGCACCCGCATGGGAAACCAGGAGGAAGCACCTGGCTCCTGGCTTCGGATCTGCGCGATGCGCCGGCCATAGCAGCCATTTGGGGGGTGAACCAACGGAAAAAGGAAGAATTTTCTCTCTCTCTCTCTCTGTCTAACTCTGCCTGTCAATCAATCAATCAAGATAGCTCAATAGGGAAACAACACTCTATATAACTCATAAAGCCTTGCATTTGTGCCTAAGTGATAAACTGAGAGGCTAAACGTAACAAATTATGTCTAGGCATCTTGGTCTACTTGGTTTAGTGAAATCTAACATTATGAACAATATACTTTCAGTTACAGTGAGTAGAAAATAAGGATATTTATATAAATGTACATAGTTAATGAAAAATAATTCAAATTAATTCTTTCAATGATGCTCGCATTACATTCAATTATTTGCACATCAAGATATCCAAGCACATCTGAATAAAACCATGGTAAAACCTGTTTTCAGATGAATTACATACATGCAAAACAACAGACATAGTTAACCATTCTAACCTGTTCTTTAGTTTATATACTCATTTTCGTAAGCTTTGGAGAACTGTAAATTCTGAATTTCCTGGCTGCATAAAAATAACTAGGCAGGGCCAGCACTGTGACGTAGAAGGTCAAGCTACCACCTGCAGTACCAGCATCTCATATGGGCACAAGCTCGAATGCCAGCTGTTCCAGTTCTCCTTGAGCTCCCTGGCAAATGTGCCTGGAAAGCAGTGGAGGATGACCTAGGTCTTGGACCTCTGCACCCAGGTGGGAGACCTGGAAGAAGCTCCAGGCTACTGGCTTCAGACCTCCTGGGATCTGTCCATTATGGCCATTTGGTAAGAGAACCAGCGGATGGACAACCTCTATCTATGACTCTGCTTGTGCCTCTCTGTAACTCTGCCTCTCAAATAAATAAATCTTTAAAAAATAGGCAAAAATCATTTTGCAAGAACATGTATACACATATCAACTGTTCCTCCTGGAATGTGATAATGATTTGATCAGTATATCTCAAAAACAAAAGTCTTAGCTCAAACAAAAGAAAAATTTGGTTTTACTGTCTCAGGCTGTGCACATGTGCAAAAAAGGCAAGTCAAATTTATTCCTGTCTAGTTCCTACACAAACCCAGAGAGGGGGGAAGCCGCTGCCTACAACACCAGCATCTCATACAGGCACTGGTTCATGTCCTGGTTGCTTCATTTCCTATCCAGCTACCTGTAATGGCTTGGGAAAGGCAGCAGCAGATGGCCAAGATGTTTGGGCCCCGGTCACCCATATGGGAGATCTGGAGGAAGCTCCTGGCTCCTGGCTTCAGCCTGGCCCAGCCCTGACTGCTGTGGTCATCTGGGGAGTGAACCAATAGATGGAGGATTTCTCTCTCTCTCTCTCTCTGCCCCCACCCCCACCCTGTAACTCTGGTTTTCACATAAATAAGTAAATCCTTAAAAAAATAAAAGAAATTCATCACTATTTTCAGAAGTGTTCCTTTAAGAGCAGTAGTGTGCCACAGTTAGTGAGAACCAGCTTTCTTAGCACCTCTTTCCCAACTCTGAATTCAAAGATTATCACAAGTGGGAGTTAGAATCTATTCCTGTGGAAATACTTGTACCACAAAAATTGATAAACATTACAAATCAGGACTTCTTTTCCCAGAAAGGTAGCTATTAAATATTTACCAACACATATCTGCTTATAAGTGATTGGAACTAAATGAATATCCATAGATTGAAGTAGCTACTCTAATACCTAAAGTCTAAATTAGATTTAACTTCTAAGCAATTTCTTTCACTTCATAATTACAAAAGCTGACTATAACATCAGCACATGAGTTTCCCTTCTTTCTCCTATTTGTTTCTTTGAAATGAGCTAACCTTAAAAATAGAAAAAAGTTATTAGAAATGTAAGAGTCCATTGTATAAATGTCCTTTGGTATTTCATTAAATTCTCTTCAGTCTTCTTAAACCAAACACCTTTTTTTTTCCCCAAAGAAACTTTTTATTTAATGAGTACAAATTTCATAAGTACAACCTTTGGAATATAGTGATTCTTCCCATCATATCCATCCTTCCACCCCTACTCCCACCCCATCTCTTCCTCTCCCATTCCCAATCCCATTCTCCATTAAGATTCATCTTCAAAAAACTTTATACACAGAAGATCAACTAAAGATATCAACAATTTGCACACACACAGACAAAACCTGTTTTACATTTAATTCTCATAATACAACTCATTGAGGATAGAAGTCCTGCATGGGGAGGAAGTCCTGCATGGGGAGGAAGTGCACAGTGATTCCTGTTAACAACTGACACTCTTATTTATGCTGTCAGTGATCACCTGAGGCTCTTGACATGAACTGCTTAAGCTATGGAAGCCTTTTGAATCCAAAATCTATATCAGTATTTAGACAAGGCCATAAGCAAAGTAGAAGTTCTCTCTTCCTTTCAGAGAAAATTACCTCCTTGTTTAATGGCTACTTCTTTCCACTGGAGTCTCTCTCACAGAGATCCTTAATGTAGAGTGTTTTTGTTTGTTTGTTTGTTTGCCACAGCGTCTTGGCTTTCCATGTCTGAAATGCTCTCATGGGCTTCTCAGCCAGATCCAAATGTCTTAAGGGCTGATTCTAAGGTCAAAGTGCTATTTAAAACATTTGTCATTCTATGAGTCTGCTGTGTGGACTGCTTCCTATGTTGGAACATTCCCTCCTTTTAAATTCTATTATTGTTTCCAAACATTTAGTCCTATTCATAAGATCCCTTTAACATTTAATCCTATCTATATATGATCACTTTAACACTTAAGATAGCATGCTTACCACCAGCTTAATGGGACTTGGGGTGCCATGGCAAGTTTTTAAACTGTACCCTTAGAAGTAAGTCCATAGGGATGTATGAAGAACTACGCAGCTTTACAGTAACAAACTTCCTCCTCCCTCTATTATTCCCACTCTTGTTTTTTTACTAAAATCTATTTTCAATTGACTTTATACACATGATTAACTATGTTAAGAGTTCAAAAAATAATATGGAGAAAAAAAACTGTTCCTTGACAGTCAAAACAAGGGCTGTTCAAGTCATTGCTTCTCAAAGTGTCAATCTCACTTCTACAGACTGCCATTTATGTGCTCTATTAGTTATTACAGATCAGGGAAAACATATGATATTTGTCCCTTTGGAACTGGCTTATTTCATTAAGTTTGATGTGTTCCAGATTCATCCATTTTGTTACAAATGACTGGATTTCATTTTTCTTTACCACTGTGCAGTATTCCATAGAGTACATATTCCTTAACTTCTTTATCCAATCTTTAGTTGACGGGCATTTAGATTGATTCCATATCCTAGCTACTGTGAATAAAATAAATATGGGGGTGCAGATAACTCTTTCATTTGCTGATTTCATTTCCCTTGGGTAAATTCCCAAGAGTAGGATGGCTGGGTCACATGATAGGTCCATAGTCAGATTTCTGAGGTATCTCCAAACTGATTTCCATAGTGGTTTTACCAGTTTTCATTCCCACCAACAGTGGAATAGGGTACCTTTTTATCCCACATCCTTGTCAGCATTTGTTTGTTGATTTCTGTATGAAAGCCATTCCAGGTGAGGTAAGGTGCAATCTCATTGTGGTTATGATTTGCATTTCCCTGGTGGCTAGTGATCCTGAACATTTTTTCCTGTGTTTGTTGGCCATCTGGATTTCCTCTTTTGAAAAATGTCTGTTTTAAGTCCTTTGCTCATTTCTTAATCGGATCACTTGTTTTGTTGTTGTGGATTTTCTTGATCTCTTTATATATTCTGATTATTTATCCTTTATCAGTTCATAGTTTGCAAATAATTTCTCCCATTCTGTTGGTTGCCTCTTCACTTTCCTGAGTGCTTCTTTTGTAGTACAGAAGTTTCTCAATTTGGTATAATCTCATTAGTTAATTTTGGCTTTGATTGCCTGTGCCTCTGGGGTCTTTTCCAAGAACTCTTTGCCTATGCCGATATTTTGCAGGGTTTCCCAAATGTTTTCTAATTTGATTAATTCTGCTGCTTTCTTGTTGATTTTCTGTCTGGTTGATCTGTACATCACTGAAAGTGAGGTATTGAAATCCCCTATTAATACTGTATTTGAGTCTATGTCTCCCTTAAGATCCCGTAACATTTCTTCTAAATAGCCAGATGCCCTGTAATTAGGTGCATATACCTTTATAATAGTTACATCTTCCTGTTGAATTGATCCCTAGTCAATTGCACAGTGTCTTTCTTTGTCTCTTTTAACAGTTTTTGTGTTAAAGTTTATTTTGTGAGATATTAGTATGGCTACACCAGCTCATTTCTTGTTTTTGTTAGCATGGAGTATCTTTTTCCATCCTTTCACTTTCACTCTGTGTGCATCTGTTGGTGAGATGTGCTTCTTGTAGGTGGTAAATAGATGAATTCTGTTTTTATTTAAAAGATACACACTGGCTGCATAGATTAGAGTTGAGGCCATTTACATTCAAGGTGACTAGTGGCAAGTAACGACTTTGCCCTGCCATTTTTCCATAATTATTCCTATTTTTTGCTTTGGATTTCCTTTGTACTTTTACTGGGAGAGCTCTTTCCTTTACCGTCTTCTGTACTGATGACCATGTTTCTGTGTGCCATACATCCTTAAGCATCTTCTGCAGGGCTGGACAGGTGGTGACAAATTCTTTCAATTTCTGTTTGTGATAGAAGGTCTTAATTTCACCTTCATTCATAAAAGAGAGCTTTGCATGGTGTAGTATTCTGGGTTGACAGTTCTTTTCACTAATATTTGGAATATATCTCACCATTCTCTCCTAGCCTGTAGGGTTTCTGATGAGAAGTCTGCTGTGAGTCTAATTGGAAATCCTCTTAAAGTAATCTGGCGTTTCTATCATTCACATTTTAGAATCTTTATGTTTTACTTTGAAGAATCTGATTACAGTGTGTCATCGTGAAGATCTTCTCTGGTCATGTCTATTAGGAGTACTATATGCTTCCTGTACTTGAATGTCCCTTTCTTTCTCCAAATTAGGGAAATTTTCAGTTATTATTTCACTAAAAAAGGCCTTCTAATCCTTTCTCTCTTTTCACGCCTTCAGGAACTCCTAGAACCAATATGTCATTTGATAGTATCCAGTAGATTACCAACAGTGTTTTTTTAGTTTTCTAATTTCTTCTTGTGCTTCATCTGACTGTATAAATTCCTGTGCTTAGTCTTCTATGTCTTATATTCTTTCTTCTGCTTCACTGATCCTATTGTTAAGGCTTCCCACTGCATTTTTTTTGTTGTTGTTGTTCTATGGGATTTTTCATTTCCAAGATTTCATTTTGATTTCTTTTTAAGATCTCAATTTCATGGGAGAGATTTTCCTTCATGTCATGTATGGATTTCATCAGTCCATGCATTTGCTTCTGATAACTTCTAAGTAATCCTATGATCAAGTTTTTGAATTCCATTTCTGGCATTTCTTCCATCTCATCAACTTCATAATCTAGTATTGGAGTGTTACGTTCTTTTGGGGGAATCATGTTGTCTCCCTTCTTCTTGTTTCTTGAATTGGTACATTGGTTATTCAGCATTTGTGAAGATACTCATTGGTTTCTTCTTTGTTTTTCTGCTCTGGCGGTTTTTATCACTGGACAATGTGTGGATTAGCGGAGTCTCTGCTTTCAGGGAATACCTAGAGGCATGTTGTAGGTGTGGCCAAGAAGCTCTGTTCAGTGCTCCAGAGTGAAGGGTTGTGTCTGAGCTGACACACCCAGGTCTGTCGTGGTAAATCCTTTTCTTTTTTAAAATCAGAGGGAGGTTTGTTCTTGTCTGTTCGCATAGCCACAGCTGAACTCCTCTCCTCAAAGGAAACCAGTTCCTGGGCACTAGCCCCAGTGAGTATATTATTCATCCACTCTGCCACAAGGACCACACAAAGGAACTGAACAGTCCTCAGTGTCAGCTCAGACTCCCCAGTAATGTCCTTTGCAGGTAACCAGGGAGTTCCTATTGTGTGAAGCCTCCCATAATGACTGCTCAAAGTCCCTGCCACACCCTGAGTCTTTCCATGCAGCCTCAGTGTTCTCACAGTCCCAGCACACAAGCCTCCCACAGTCATGAGCACCCACTAGACTCAGAAGTCTGAAGCTGGCTGGTTGATGGGTGCAGACATGAGCTGGTGCAGCTGTTAGGTATGTACAAGATGGCATCTGCTCTCTATCAGCTTGTTACAGGATACAGTTACAGGGTAACTGGGGAGAAACATGCCTCTCCTTTTGTTTTTTTCTCCTCTAGTTTGGCAAGTACACTATCCCCCATGGGGCTCCAAGCCTGATTCCCTCTAGGCTCTTCCTGCAGCTTTTTCACCAGTGGCTTGGTCTGCTGTAGTCTGGTCTCCCCTCACTCTCAATGCTGGTGTGGAGACTCTCGGCTGCTGGGGCCCTGAGTTGTACGCTGCCCTTGCCCTGCATCTAGATCTGCTGTCTCTCCAATCTGCGTAGAATTTCCTCTGCTGTTTTCTTAACTAACTCTTCCCTGAGTCTGTACCCTTTCTACTTTTTTTAAACTATCTTCTAGACTAGAGCAACAAGCTCCCTCCCTACTCTGCCATCTTAATCCAATCCCTCCTTTAATTCTCCCAAAAAACTTTCTAACATGTACCCTTTTTCAGAAGAGAGTTGAGATTTGAGTATAGTTGCCAGAATCCCAGAAAGTTGAACAAACGTACAATACAAGGAATCACAAGTATATAAAGCAATCAGAAAATTGGCAGTGGGGAAAGAGAGAAAACTACATAAAGTTGCCACTATCAATTTTTCCAAAGAACAGCCAGTACTACACAATGGGCCCTCCAACTCATTTCTTATTTGGCAAAAAAAGAAATTCTACCTTTTCCCATTTTTTTTAAGCTGGAGTATTCCACCAACTGGAAATATCTTAGCATGAATACACAGATATAAAACGGACTTTAAGAGAAATCTTCTCTAATGTGATCCCCAAAAGAAACCTGGAATAATAACCAGAAAAATCTAACAGGCAGGCACTGCGGCTCAATAGGCTAATCCTCTGCCCTGCGGCACTGGCACACCGGGTTCTAGTCCCAGTTGAGGTGCCAGATTCTGTCCCGATTGCCCCTCTTCCAGTCCAGCTCTCTGCTGTGGCCCGGAAGTGCAGTGGAGGATGGCCCAAGTGCTTGGGCCCTGCACCCCATGGGAGACCAGGAGAAGTACCTGGCTCCTGCCATCGGATCAGCGCGGTGCGCCAGCCACAGCGTGCCGGCTGCAGCGGCCATTAGAGTGTGAACCAACAGTAAAGGAAGACCTTTCTTTCTGTCTGTCTCTCTCTCTCTCACTGTCCACTCTGCCTGTCAAAAAAAAAAAAAAAAAAAAATCTAACAAACCTGTTTACATGTAGGAGCATACTCAGCCTAGACATTTGAAGAATATGAAGATTACACAATTAATCACAAAAAAATTATACTTTTCTTGCCACATTCTTATATTTTAAATAATTTTCATTTCAACCCAGAGTCTGCCACTCACTTTGAAATCAAAGGTGTAATTGGTGTAAGGCATCAAGTTATTTTCATAGGCGCTCTTAAGTTGGAAGCCATGTGTGATTCTCCCTTCTGAGCTTCCATTCTTTCCATTGCAGCTGAAGTTCATAAGACACTCATTGTACCTTAGTTCCTTGAAGTCTTTATGGTTGTCAGCTACTCCTCCATTGCTTAAATATTCCACAACACCTATTGAATTAGGAAACCAGGGACATTATCATTTAGCATATATCCTTCCACAAGATTTTATAGGCAAGACCTGTTACCAGGTGGATACAGTGGCTATATCAGGTTGAGCCATATTAAACTATCTTCTTTGTTCTTTTTTAAAAAAATTTTTTTAAAAGCTAAATATAAGCAATTTGATATGATTCAATTGAATTGAAGAGTGTCTACTTTGGAGCAAAGTATCAGGATCACCCAGAAATATCCTCAGTTATCTTAGTGGTTCTTCATATTGAAGATGATTTCCTAGACCTGTATGGCATTCATCAGAAAGGTTTTGATTCTAAATGCCTTTTAAGTGTTATTTCAAATCAGTGCCTCTTTATTATTTCTCCCATTGTACATGGTCAACTGACAACTTTGGGAAAATACAAATATAGCATATATAATAAATAATTTACAATGAAAGCAGATTTCTTTATCTTCAACATTTCAGCAACTGGTGTGAGACAGACAATATTTTGAACCTTAATTCTCTGGTTCTCACTCTGATACTTTCAATAACATTATAAGCCAGATATGCCACTTAGCCAAAAATGCTTTCATTGTCTAAAAAATTGAAATAGCAATATCCAAAAACGTATACTGTTTCCACTATAGCCAACATGAAGAAAGTTCCACAACCTTTCTTATGATGATGATTAGCGAAAACTGTTACATCATTTCTATTTATTTGTGATCAAAAATGACAACAAGACATAGTAAGTAATGAATGCAGTTATCTGTGCTGTGGGTAAGCTCAAGTGGAGCTATCAGTTAACATTTACTACCTGGTGGGAACTGTTCTAAGTGGCACATATAAACCTCACCAACAATTCCATGGGGTGAATAAAATGATTATTCCCTTATTAAACATGGGGAACTCAGTCACAGAAAGCATAGCTCATAAACAGCAGAACCAGGAGCCAGTCCTGACAGTCTGGCTCCAGAGTCAGTTCACTTATGCTATGCTGCCAAATGACAGCTAGTTTACTTAAATCAAATGAAATATGAGGAAAACCTGCACTTGAGAGCAATGCAACTTAAGGATTAGGAATGAAAGATGTAGTTAAGATGCCAACTGGGGTATTGAGGTTAAAGACAAAGATTTGTAAACAATAGTTTTTGGTTTTTTTTTTTATATTCCAAGTGTAAAGGTTTGGTTATTTTTTCTTGAGTGATTATTTTAAATAACTAAACAAAATGATAGTGACAATAAACCAAATTTAGAATATGCTTTGGGGCCGGAGCTGTGGCGCAGTGGGTTAATGCCCTGTCCTGAAGCGCCGGCATCCCATATGGGTGCTGGTTCTAGTCCCGGCTGCTCCTCTTCCAATCCAGCTCTCTGCTATGGCCTGGGAAAGCAGTAGAAGACGGCTCAAGTCCTTGGGCCCCTGAACCCACATGAGAGACCCGGAAGAAGCTCCTGGCTTCGGATCGGCACAGCTCCAGCCATTGTGGCCATCTGGGGAGTGAACCAGCAGGTGGAAGACCTCTCTCTGTCTCTACCTCTCTCTATAACTCTGTCTTTCAAATAAATAAAATAGATATTTAAAAAAAAAGAAACTGCTTTGATAATAACAAGAGTAATAATTTAATGTTTTACATTTGGAATTTAATATCCAAAGGGCAGAACTGATTTTTACAAAGATCTAAAATAACATAAGTTTAGTAGAGTTCAAAAATTTTTTTGATCATCCTTCTATACCTAATATCATTTAATGAATTCACTGAAAAGCTGACAAAGTTACTCAACTAGATAGCCACCTATACTGAGTATCTTCTGGTTGCCCCTTCAGATCACCATTTTCCATTCGACTCTGTGCATTGGGAGGCTGATATTTACTCCATCAACTGCAAGGCCCTTCCCCATGAAAATTCTAGTTGGATTTGGTCAATGGGCAGCCCTGGGAGAAGACTGGAGGATAGGATCCAGGGGAAGTAGGAGTATACTCGCACTTTCCCCAGCCAGATCCCTTCCAACTCGTTTGGCAAGGATTCTATCAGTCAATTCAAAGCCAATGCTCCTATAAAAAGACTGACTCTACAGTAGTAACAAACTTTTCCATATTCTTATTATGACACTCAACACTTTATTGCTGAGGTGGTAAAGAGACCCTAACTCTTAATGGCAGAATATCACATCAACCACTGCTTTGTATCCCTTAGTTCTGCCCACATCTTTGGAACTAAACTTTACTAAACTTCTTTACTAAACTTTTCTCAATTACTTCATGTCTCATTCCTGAGATTTTCACTGATACTTCCTAATTTAGAAGAGAAATTATCTACCCTAAAAGTTCTAGGAACTAGTTAGGTTTTGAATGAAGAGTGAAACCAAAATTAAAAGCAATGAGAAAATAATGTTATAAATACCTGAATCTGGCAATGAGTTAAGATCTGCACATAGCACCAGCGGGATAGAATTAGGATCTGTGGTTGGGCTGCCAGGCCTACTAGAAGCTTTCTCCAGAATGTTTTTAACCTCTGAGACAAACATCATGGTCTGGATGAGTTTCACATCAGAATACTCTGGGTCCCAATGCATGTGGGCATTTGCCACAATAAGCAGCTGTTTGTCTGCAGCATGAATTGGCTTCATACCTAAATTTAAATATTACAAAAAACAGATAAAGTTATATTTTATTTAAAGACAAGTCGTATCTTATGGTGCTTTCTCAATAGATCATTTTGTTGTTCTTTTCCATGAATTTATACCTTCTCTTTTCTATCATAAAGCTGGAAGTCAAGGTTCTGGGTATCTTAATATAGGAATTACTCTTCCAGATCAATTTAGCAAACTATAGCCCATGGTTAAATGCGGAATGCCACATGTTTTTGTACATCAAGTGGAAGCAAAGGACAATTTTAGGTTTTTAGAGTTCTAAATCCCCACAAGCAACTGTGACAAAGAATATCTATGGCCCAAAAAGCCTAAAATACTTCCTATCTGTCCCACAGCAGAAAAAGTTTGCTGACCCCCTACTCAATATTGCATACAAGTCAGGAGTAACAATATGATATAGTCAACATTTGATCATAGTACTCTCATTTTCCTGAGTTCCTAGTTTAAACAAGTACTCTTATCTCTCTCTCTCTCTCTCTCTCTTAAATATCTTAGACACTCTATCAAAGTAAATTAGTGAGGAAGTTTTCAGTTATGTGTGTTACTTAAGCCTTAATTTAAATCCCTCCCACTGGCCTGCCTTCATTCACCAAGCATTTCTAGAGCACAACAGCAACAACTCAGTAGAATAAAGAATAACATTATATTAACCTGTGCAAAACAAAATAAATAAGTATATTTGCTACCCAAAATGACATCATAAACTGCATAATGTTATTTTTTAAATGAAAATTATGGAATATGTATTTGGCATAGCAGTTAAGATGTTTGAGGGATGGGCATTTGACACAGTAGTTGTATGCCACTTGTAACAACAGCATCCCATATTGGAGTGCCTGGGCCATGAGCCCACCTCAACTCCCAATCCCAGATGCCTTCTAATGCATACCCTGGGAGGTGGCAGATGATGGCTCAAGTACTTTGTGTCACTGGCAGCCCAGCTGGAAGACTCAGACTGAGTTTCAGTCTTTTGGCTTCAGGCTAAACCAACCCCAGCTATTTTAGGCATCTGGGGGAGTGAACAAGAGGATGAACAGACACATACACACTCTCTCTCTGCCTTCCAAATTTTTAAAAAAAAATGAGAATTGGGGAGTAGTATGCTCTCAAAGTCTAATAAACATCTGGCTTTATTAATAACTACTTTCTATGATCCTGAACATTTTTTGGTGCTTGGGTTCATTTGGAAAATGAGATATTACTCTAGAAAATTTCTAAGGTTCTTTCCCCCCACTAAAATTCTTTTATTTAAAAAAAATTCTGTCAAAAAATATTAACATGGTACTTTCCAAATAGTATATAGAATAATATGTTTAAAATTGAGAAAATTGGGACTGGTGTTATATTATAGTGCAGCGATGCTAGCATCCTACATGGGTGCTGGTTCGTGTCTCAGCTGCTCCATTTCTGCTCCAGCTCCCTGCAAATGGTCTGGGAAAAGCAGCAGAAGTAGTCACTTTTAAAGCGATTTGATCATAAGCTAAACAGTTGAAGGGGGTAGGTGATGTTGAGCAGTGAGTAGTGGATTAGGCTGTCCCTTGGGATACCCACTTCCCATATTGGAGTGTTGGTCTGTGTCTCAGAACTTCTATTTCCACTCCAGCTTCCTGTTAATGCATCCTGAGACACAGAAGATCATGGCAAGAATACTTAAGTCCCTGCCACCCAAACTGGAGACCTGATGGAGTTCTGGGCTCACAATTTCAGACTGGCCAAGCCTTGGCTGTTACAGGCTAGGGAATGAACTAGCAGGTGGGAGACCAATCAATCAATCAATTAAGCATTCTTTCTCTTGTAAATGAAAATAAACATTAAGAAAAAATAACTGTAACCCAAATAATTTATGGTGTCTTCTTTTCTTACAACTTTATGGTGTCACTTTTGGCCATTAACTAAATGTTCATTGTATTAAATATGTACAAATTTGCCTCTTCAAGGAGACATAAGCACTTTATTACTAAATTTCCCTCCAGGAGCACAAGAGATACATATTTCAGAAAGCAGAAGTATCTACAATACAATGCAGAATTAATCTTCTGGAAATTTGGAGGAAAACTCCAAAAGTATAAAAGAGAAAAACAGAATTGGAAAATATATAAAAGTAGGCAAAAACAGAAAGATAAAGCAGAAAGAAAACTAGAAATCCATGAAAGACCAACTGTATTTGATGAAGGGTAAGCTATAGGGTGGTAAGAAAAGGAAGCATGATTTACATGCATGAATAATTCAAATCAATACTCAAGGCAAAAGTCTTTTCTTCCGTAAAAAAGTAAGGAGGTGGGGAACCCTAATGTGGTCTTACCCCCTTCTTGCTCTTGCTTAAAATATACTAATAAATGATGAAATTTTCAAAGGCAAGCAATAGAGTTTTTTTTAAACTTTGAATAATGCAAAATATATAATGAGGTTTTTACTCTGAAGGAGGCTATAAATAATCTAACAATCTGAAGTATTGTAGATAAAAGATTCTGCTCTTACAATAACCAAGGTATAACAAAGAAATTAGAGAAGACATGTCAAGCACTTAACCTTAAAGACAAAAGATTCACACTCAAAAAGCCAAAAATATGGTTCAAAAGAGAATAAGTCATCCTAATTCATCATCTAAATTCAGCACAACCAAAACATTCCCAATTTCAAAGAATCTTTTGGAAATAATAGCATATTAAAAAGACTTCACACAGATTACCTGGAAGGAAGAAAAACACTGACAGAGACCATAGAATATCCCAAGAAATGTGATGTTTTACAGATTTAGTACTATTTTCCAATCCATCTCCTTTAACTATCCTCAGAAAACAAGAAAATAACTTTGCCATAAATAACAGCAAGATTCTCTTCATTTGCTTTGAGCTAAGAAAACTTGAGATAGTGTTATTTTTAGTAAGAACATGTTAACTTGTACTCACCTGCTCCGAATAGTTCCTTGTGGACCTCTAATACCACAGCAACACCAATGTTATCTTTTGTCATCACTCTGTTTAGCATAGCTTCGGATCCATCTGAATTAGCCATTGCCACTTGGTTAAATTCCACTGTATGCTTTTGCACCAATGTAAATCTAAAAGGTACAATGCATCATTGCAATTTTAGGTACTTAGACTATCACGCTAAAAGACATCAAATAAAGGGGCTTAAGTTATAGCTATTATCCACTGTCTCCTTTTCATTTTGTAGTTGCACATGTGCATGTGATATGGTTCTGGCTAATAAAACCTAAGAAATATGATTTCTCCAAAAAAAAAAAAAACACACACACACACACATCCGAGGCCCCACCTAGCAAAGAACATACATGTTCCATTATCCTTTTACACCTTTGCCCCTTCTAGCTAGTGCATACAGAAAGAACAACAATCTTGTGCCCATGTAGTAAGATGGAGGAAGGCAAAAGCCAACCTTCTATGGATGGGAAAACAGCTAAACCAGCTCTGGACCACCTATTTCTAGATTTCTTGTGCAAAAAATTACTCTTCCCCTACTTGTTTCATCTGCTGCTGGAATTTTCTGGTATTTAAAAGTGCACACAATCTTAACTTGAGCCAGCAAGTTAATGAGAAAGAACAGAATGAAATGTACCTAACCTACTTGGGAGTTTTATTCAAACTGCATCAAGATATTTGGCAACGAAAATGCAGGGATATACGTAAGTGTTCAGAAAAACAGATTCTGTGTGATGATGAAATAACTCTTCCTGTGATGACAGCTTCTGTGCTAACAGCATTTTCTTTTCTTACTGGTAAATTATTAAATATAGTAGAGTTGCAGGATTTAGTAGACTTTAATGCTGACATTTAATAGACGTATGGGGGCAGGCAGCTGACCCAGTGATTAAGATACCCATGTTCCATACTGGAGTGCCTGAGTTCCACACTTGCCTTTGGCTATTAACTCCAACTTCTGGTTAATGCAGACCCTACAAGGCAACAGTAAAGACTCAAGTAATTGGGTTCAGGGCCCACGTTGTAACACAGTGCGTAAAGCCGCTGCCCACCCAACTGGGAGACCAGGATGGAGTTCCAGGCTCCCTGCTTCAGTCTGCCCCAGCAGACCATTGTGGCCATTTGGAGCATGAACCAGCAGATGGAAGATATCTCCCTCTCACCCTCTCTCTCTGTAATCTGCTTTTCAAATTAAAAATAAAAAAGGTAACTGGATTCCTACCATCCACAAAGAGACATAGACTGAATTCCTGACTCCTAACTTCAGACTAGCTCAGCCCAGGGTGTCACAGACATTTGGTGAGTGAGCCAGCTCAAGAACTTGCTATCTCTCTTTCAATTGGGGGGGGGGGGGGGGGAGAGACTAATACCAATATGGCCTTATGGCCTTAACTCATTTAACTTCTTCCTGCCTAATTTTAATAATGTTTTGAAATATATAAATTATCAAAACCTACTAAATATGCTTTTCACTAAACTACTGTTAAGTGGAGAGAAGACATCTTTACTCCTATAAAAGCCCCACTGCCCACCTTCCTCCTAGCTTTGAAAAGAGACACATGGCAGCTAGTGTTGTGGTACAGCAAATTGAGCTGCCACCCGTGAAACAGGCATCCCATATGAGTGCAAGTTTCTGTCCTGGCTTGCCCCACTTCCAATCCCGCTCTCTGCTAATGCGCCTGGGAAAGCAGCTGAAGTTGGCCCAAGTGCTTAGACCCCTGCACCCATATAAGAGATCCAGATGAAGCTCTTGGATTTGGCCTGGACCAGCCTGGCCACTGTAACCATTTCAGGAGTGAAGCAGCAGATGGAAGATCTATTTCTCTCTATTTCCTTCTTTCTCTTTCTTTCTTTCTTTCTTTCTTTCTTTCTTTCTTTCTTTCTTTCTCTCTCTCTCTCTCTCTCTCTCTCTCTCTCTCTCTCACACACACACACACACACACACACACACATTTTCAAAGATACTGACTAAAAGCTGACTAGACAGAGAGAGTACTACATGGAAGAATATTCCCCTTGGTGTTCCAATTCTGTAGGTCTCAAATGTGCTGAGAAGTATCAAGGGTCCAATCTTGTTCCTATTTCTAACGCAGGGTACTAAATAAAGGAAGTATACTTTAACAAAATTACCTTTAAAGTTGAATCATCAAGGACAAGGAATTACTAAAGTGAAGAATAGGGTTGAGAGTATTCCAGTTAAAAGAGGTGAAAGGTGCTGAGATAGTAATGAGCTTTATAAGTTTACAGGCTGTGAAAGAAATCAAAGGGTATGAAATTATGCTGGAAATGAAAGGAACAACTAAGTGTTGTAAGCAAGCAAATACTGTTAATAGTTTTTCAAGATCATACAAGCTATTTGTGGAGAACAGATTACACAGGTCAAAATAGAACTCAGAGCCCAATTAGAAAGCTTTTGAAGTTTAGAGAAATGATGGTGGCCTGGAATAAGGCAAGAGAAACAAGAATAAACAAATTCACAATATGCTCAAGACAAGAGTGACCATCCTCCATATCAGACTTCTGCAAACATTTTTTAAAGATTTACTTATTTATTTATTTGAAAGTCAGAGTTACAGAGAGAGAGAAAGAGAGATCTTTCATCTGCTGGTTCACTCCCCAAATGACTGCAACAGCCAGGGCTGGGCCAGGCTAAGCCTAGAAGCCAGAAGCCAGGATCTTCTTCCAGGTCTCCCACGTGGGTGCAGGGGCCCAAGCACTTAAGCATTCTTGGCTACTTTCCCAGGTAACATCAGCAGGGAGCTGGACTGGAGTGGAGCACCCGGGACTCAAACCAGCAACCATACAGGATCCTGACATCGTAGGCGGCAGCTTAACCTGCTATGACACAACTTGGGCCCCCTTCAAACAGTTTCTAGTCAGACTCTCATATATGAAACAGAAAAAAAGCAGTATTAAGTTAAAACAAACTTAATTACTGGAAACAGCCTGTTTTGATGATACAAACTTGAAAAGAGAGGATACAGAGGACACAATAGTCAGCTGACTTCTCTATTTTGACTTAGTTACAAAGTATTAATAAAAAAAAAAAATCCTGATTCACAAAGATACACAGATGTTAAGGCCATTAAGCTTTGTTAAGTCAACAACAGGAGTCACTGTGCACTTACTCCCCATGTAGGATCTCTGTCCTTAATGTGTTGTACAATGTGAATTAATGCTATAACTAGTACTCAGACAGTACTTTATACTTTGTGTTTCTGTGTGGGTGCAAACTGTTGAAATCTTTACTTAATATATACCAAATTGATCTTCCGTATATAAAGATAATTGAAAATGAATCTTGATGTGAATAGAATGGGAGAGGGAGCGGGAGATGGGAGGGTTTCGGATGGGAGGAAAGAAGATCCTGCGGGTGGGTGGGGAAAAAGCCACTGTAATCCATAAGCTGTAATTTGGAAATTTTTATTTGTTAAATAAAAATTTAAAAAAAGTTGATTAAGCAGCACTTCAGAAACATCCAAAGTGCTAAAATTTGGTATTTGTAATATTAGAGTACACACTGTTTTAAATTACAGTTAAGAATAATTGCATTTATTTTTTGAAATATCTTTTAAATATTCACAGAACTTCTAATGTTTATTTATAACAACACAGAGTTCCACAGGAATGTTAAAAATCCTGCTTTAATAGCAATATTTTTAATAAAAGGATAGTTTTCTACCAAAGCCAGGTCATTATTTTTGGGGAAAAAAAGAGAAGAGTGGGAATCCAATTATTGGAAATCTCTTTCTTAATGAAAATTTGCTTTCCTCTAACTGATTTCTACTAAATCTAGCTCTAGATCTTTTAATTAAAGGAATATAAAATAAATTTCTCTTCCATACATTACCATCTTAAATATCCACCAATAAATGGCAAGTTCTTGCTGCATATTCAGTATTACATGCTATAAAATGTTCTTTGGTCTATTCAAGTAATCATGGGAGTGCCAGAAAATAATTAGAAAAGACAATATTAGAGACAGGGATAAACAAGGGGAAAAATTATCATGACCCTATATTTGTACAGTTCTTTTAATCACTGAAAGCACTCCACCTGTAAAAGAAACTAGCATGAGAAATGAGATAGGAATTTTATAATAGGCCATTTTGGAATAATATTGTACCTTTTGAATGCCCTCTTTCCAAGCACAAAACCACCTATAATAACACAGAAAGGAAAAGCAAGACCGTGGCCTTTCCCGGAAGCAGGTTACCAAATGAGGTAATACAGGAACAACCAAGTACCATGATAACCTAAGTCCCCAATCCTATGACAATGACTGCCTCTTCACAGTGTAATGGTCACACTATTCTAAATTGCTGTTCTCATCTTTCCCTTTCTCATTGATTTGAAAATAAAGCATGATCACACAATCAGAACTGCTAACATCAGGAACAGCAAGTTAAGTCTAGTAACCAGGTCTGGTTTCAACTTCATTTTTTTCTCATTTTAGACTTCTTCAAGTTTTGTATCTGGTTCCACGATCTCATTTCTAATAGTCAAGGCTATGGGAAAATACATGGCAAAAAGAAATTTAAATTCTAGGCCTAAAACATTTATAACTCAGATTCTATGTACAAATTTTATGTATATATAAAATACAAACATATATACATGTATGTAAATGCCTTGAATTATAGAGAATACTTAAGATAAAGACAAAGCAAAAGCTGATTTCTAGCATTTTATCAATCAAAATCCTATTTTCTGGTGTATCTAGCTAAAAAAATGTTCCTAGTGATAATCAAAAGTTACTACCAAATCTTGAAGTATCTCTGATTGCCCAAATAGTAAATTAACCTAGAATAATATGACTTAAAGAACATTGTAGGAACTGGTGTTGTGGTGCTACGAGTTTGGCTGCCACTTGCAATGGCACTAGTATAGCAGCACCAGTTCGAGTCCCAGCAGCTCTGCTTCTGATTCAGCTCCTTGCCTAGGAAAGCAGTAGATGATGGCCCAATTCCATGGGCCCCTGCCACTCGTGTGAGACACCTGGATGGAGTTCCAGGCTCCTAACTTGGGCATGGCGCACCCTCAGCTACTGTGGCCTTTTGGGGAGTGACCTAGAGGACAGAAGGTCTCTTTCTGTATCTCCATCACTCTTCCTTTAAAATAAATTAGTAGTATATTGCACTGCTTTCTAATTCTCTGAATATTGGTAATCTTTGTCCTAGCTTTTATGAAGAAATACTTTTATCTTCATCAATGAAAATCAGGAATTATCAAACATTCTGGCTTTAAAAAAGACTGAGAAAAAATAAGGAGAAAGTCAAATTATTCTTCTCAAGCCATCTTTTCGCTTTGTTAGTTTTGTAAACCACACAAAAAGTTTATCTTACAAGGTAAGAATATATACAAATTAAGAAATGGGTCCAGATAGGATAATTGACTCATTTAAGATTATACAGCTAGGGCCGGCGCTGTGACTTACTTGGTTAACCCTCCACCTGCGGCACTGGCATCCCATATGGGCGTCGGGTTCTAGTCCCGGTTGCTCCTCTTCCAGGCCAGCTCTCTGCTGTGGCCCGGGAGGCCAGTGGAGGATGGCCCAAGTGCTTGGGCGCCTGCACCCACATGGGAGACCAGGAAAAAGCACCTGGCTTCTGGCTTTGGATCAGCGCAGCGCTGGCCGTAGCGGCCATTTTGGGGGTGAACCAATGGAAGGAAGACCTTTTTCTCTGTCTCTCTCTATCTATATCTCTACCTGTCATATTTAAAAAAAAAAATTATACAGCTAAATAAATGTGTAGGAGAAACACCTGGTTTCAAAAACTCAGTCTTTTCACTATATTATCTCGCCAATCTGAAGAAACACTGAAGACAGGGTAATGTACTTAATGTTAAATTCCAAATAGTTTAGCATAGGATACTGTGCTAGAAAGTGTTGGATAAATATTTGGTACTAGGAAAGAAGATGGTTTTAATCTATCACAGGAGGGACAGTACTGCCATTTCCAGAAAGAAGCTCAGAGGAGGTACAATGTAATAGTCTGTTACACTCAACATCTTGAATGTTGCTGGGTCAATGTTACTATTTAGGAACAAAGAGTTGAAGAAAGTAGGAAAAAAAAAGAATGCATCTCATTATTTCCTCTGTACTCATTTCTTAATTATTTCACAACATTTTTAGTAATTCATTACAAATATCCAAAGTTTAAGGCTTCCAAGACAAGTTTCATAATTTCAAAATCTTAACCACAGCTAGTAAATTTAAGGAATTTTAGATTTTTCCTCTGAAAACTGTGAGGGAAGTGATAAAGTCCCCCATATTATCTTCAAAGAAACAATGGTGGCCGGCGCCGCGGCTCACTAGGCTAATCCTCCACCTAGCGGCGCCGGCACACCGGGTTCTAGTCCCGGTCGGGGCGCCGGATTCTGTCCCGGTTGCCCCTCTTCCAGGCCAGCTCTCTGCTGTGGCCAGGGAGTGCAGTGGAGGATGGCCCAGGTGCTTGGGCCCTGCACCCCACGGGAGACCAGGAAAAGCACCTGGCTCCTGGCTCCTGCCATCGGATCAGCGCGGTGCGCCGGCCGCAGCGCGCCGGCCGCGGCGGCCATTGGAGGGTGAACCAACGGCAAAGGAAGACCTTTCTCTCTGTCTCTCTCTCTCACTGTCCACTCTGCCTGTCAAAAAAAAAAAAAAAAAAAAAAAAAAAAAAGAAACAATGGTACATCAAAATAATGTTGTTAGTACTTTTTAAAAATATATGCATATATTTTATTTTGTTTAAGGAATACAACTTCATGTATTTAATATATACAAATTTGGGAACATGGTGATTCTTCCTCCTTTCCTTCCCTCCCAAGTAGTTTAGCATTGGATATTTTCCTCCTTCCTTTCCCATTTACAGAGATCAACTTTCAGTTAATTTTATACTCATAAGATTAACCCTGCACTATTTTCTTAAATTTAGGTTGAAGTGTTTCAAAGCTAATTTCTGCATAAACAATAGGTAGCAAATGTCCAACTAAAGGCAGTTTTCCTGACTGAAGTACAAAGTAACACTGAAAACTCAAATAAGAAGCTTAAGGTTCAGTTTATTACAGTGACTAAAAGTATGGAATGTGAAGTCAGACTACCAAGTAACCTTGGACAAATTACTGAGCCTGTCTATGCCCTGATTTCTCCATCTATAAAAATTATGCAATAGCTGTATACCTGTACTCCTTGAGAGTATCTTCTAAAATTAAGTAAGACAATCCATATAACTAGAGAAGACCTGATATGTGGTAAACACTATGAAAGTAACAACATTTGTTATTGTTAAGAGTTACAAAAAACACCAAAACACAAGAAGAATTTAATATATTCTGACCTCAATTATTATAGGGATATGCCCTAAAGATCAACCAGAATGAGAATAACATCTAATGAAAAATCCGTGGAAAGGACAGGAGAGTAGGCACAGATAAATGGTAAGTAGACCAAATCTCTTACAAATTCACTAAACTTCTTTAACTTCGAATAGTATGCCATGCAAGTAATACAGCTGTATCCATAAAAAGTGACTAACTTTGTTATAATAGGTATCAATCAGGGAGAAAATGTATATGCTTACCCTGCAGGTTTATGCTAACCAGGTAGATGAAGTAGATGATTATCTATCTTATGTATCAAATGCAAATTATCAACCATGGGATTTAACCTCTATCAAACTTTACATATTTCATTTGTAGTTATCTTATATGACTACCTTTTCCTACTTGACTTAAGCTTTCAATGACATTAGAAACTGTGTTTCCTTTCTGTCTATTGTATCTGGCATTGGACTTGAGACAAAACAAATGCTCACTAAGCATTTAATAAATGAACAAGTAAATCAAGTTTGAAATTTTAATTGAAAACAATGAAAAAGTTTATAAGATGAATAATTCTGAAAAAAGGTCAACTATAAAAAATCCAATTTCACATTGATAATCTTAAAAGGTAAGTTTTTTACATAAAAATTTTACTTTATGAAAATATATTCTTAAACACAATTTTAAAACCATATTCAAGTCTCAGAAATTTTGTTATTTGGCAATAAAGATATATAGAATACTAAGCATCCTTGTTTCCAAAACATGGCCTAAGAAATAAATCATTAACAACAGTTTTTCAAATTGTACAACACTTGCTTTCTAGCTTTTTGTTATTTTAAAGGGTCAAACCAAAGAAAAGTTTAGATGTGTGATAATTAAAAGAAATAAGTTTCGACTTTTGTGCTTTGTTTCCTAAACTCACTTTTCTGTTTTGAAGAATATTGCACAACCATCCACATGCTTTCTCTCCTGCTCAGACATGATTTTGGCACGTGACTTTGGAGAAAAAAATCCATCATATCCACGCTCCTTCAATGCTGGCAGAAAGAGAGTGAAGTATTGCTCTGTTTCCACTTCCTGAGATGAAAGAAAAGTTATCATCTACATGACATTATATAACTTCGGCTAAGATATGAAAATGTTCAGCATTATAAGTAGGCTTGATTAAATTAAAATAGTTCGCATGACAGGTGACCATCTTACTTTACTGCTAGCAACTGCCATTTGACAATGCTAACTCCTTAAACATGAGGAAAACAGAAGAGTGACCTGAACGTCACATGCTTACACAGGTAGTTAGTAGCTGGAGCAAGATTACAACCTGGGTCTCCTGACTCCATTCCACTATACTTCCCCCAAAACAAATAAGTAAATTTAGTATATGACCAATAAGGTAGAATGGAACAGTAAATTTGATATATAAAAAGGTATGTTTTAAAATTATTTATTCTGCTGAACCATGATGAAAAGGAATGATATCCCAAAATGAGAAAAACAGATTAAAAAATTCTACTTTAACATATTTTAGGGAGTTGTCAATCATTATTTGTTCTCTGCTAATTTAACAATTGAGTTAGACTAATTTATCCCTTGACCCTTAAATATTTTTAACAAATTTCAAAATGAAATAATCAAATACAAAGATAATGATGTATATAAATGCTCAAAACAGCATAATTTGGAAAAAGCAAAACACCAAAAAAATTAGATTTCTAACAGTACAGAAAAGGCTATATTAATAAATATTCACATATTAATGTGTTTTTAAGAATTTTAGTAACATGAATAGTGCATTAAACACAATTATAACAAAAAGGAAAATATACCAACATTAAGGTCTCAATTTTATCTTGAAAATATTCTGTAAATAAATTCATAAGTGAATACAAAGAAAATATGCAGAAAACACTCTAGATGTTTTGACAGAGCAATTATCTTTGAGACAAGGAATGAGATTGTTTTTTTCCATAATACTTTATCTTTTCTCGCAAATTTAAATTTCCCTAAAATAAACACTTTATAACATGGTATTATTTTAACACAGAAAAGCAATTTTCTTGAACTGTTTTTATTCTTTAAGCTGTACTTAGAAGACCAAGACTACTACTGTATATATGAAACCGAATCAAGTAACTACAACAGTCTAATTTTGGTTGCCTCTTCCTCCCCTCAACTCTGTGTCAGTCTTAGTGTTCAGAAGAATATTTTTAATTTTGAAGATGTTTACTTCTTGTTATTTCCAAGACAACAGAAAAATAGGGGCTGGCACTGTAGCATAGTAGGTTAAACCTCCGCCTGCAGCACTGGCTGCAGGTGCTCGTTCGTGCCAAGCTGCTTCTCTTCTGATCCAGCACTCTGCTTATGGCCTGGGAAAGCAGTGGAAGATGGCCCAATTGCTTGGGCCTCTATACCAGCACAGGAAACAAAGAAGCAGCTCCTGGCTCCTAGCTTCAGATTAGCTGACCTCCAGCTGTTACAGCCATTTAGGAAGTGAACCAGTGGATGGAAGACCTCTCTATCTGTCCCTCCCTCTGTCTATAACACTGCCTCTCAAACAAATAAATCTTTCAAAAAAAGAAATACTTAACCAATGTGACAAATGTTAATTACCCTGATTTGCTCATTCTACAATGTACAAATGTATCAAAAATATCACACTGCTCTCCCAAATATAAACAATTCTTATTTGTCAAATCAAAACGTTAAAAAAAAAATTTTAAGTCTTTAAAATGCTTTGAAAGTAGCTAAGGAAAGTAGCTGAAAAAAATTACTTTTTAACTGGATAAATTTTTTACCTAATTATTAGCCAAATGTTGAAAAAAAGTGATACATATTCCATGAAAAGGACTATTTTTCAGTCTTTGTTACAATAAAATTATAAAACAGATGAGTAAATTCCTTACAAAGTAGGGCAAAAACGCATGACTTACAATATAATATTTTAACTGTGGGGAAGCACTTTTTCTTCTTAACAACTCTATTGTAAGTTAAATTTATATTCCTAAAAGATTCAGCAATCATTTGTAGTTTTCTCTTTCAGTAATACCAAAGGTTTTTTCATAGAATGAACTCGTAACATGAGTAATGGGTAAGATTATTTTTTCATTTAAGAAAATAGCAAATTAATGTTAAGTGGATGGCTGTACTAAGCAACACAGTTTCCCTGTGGAATATCTTAAATGCTAATTAAAACTGTTCCTTTTTTAAGAGAAAGAAAATAATTCCTTTAGAGTTTCACTTCAAACAAAGGATCTCTCCCAGAGGGAAGAACTTCTATTATTTTTAAGTTCACCTTTAAGTTAAAGACAATTTAATCTCTATAGTGTTACCTGAAGACTAATGATATCTGCGTCACAGTTAACAATTTCTTCCATAATTCCCTTTTTCCTGTATTCCCAGTTTAATGCCCAGGAGGGGCAATAGCCATATAGCTGCCGGGTGGCGTATTTATCACATAACACATTGTAACACATAACCGTGAATGATGCTAAGAAGTGGGAGAAAAACAAAAAACAGGGAGAAAATTAGGCAACTTTTACTAAAGCAGTATCATGCATAACCTGCAAAAGAATACATATATAATCCAAAAATCATCTTTATAAAAGACTAGAGGAAAATTAACATAGTAAATACTAAAATAGAAATACTAAAATTTCATTAGAATACATCATATTTAAGTTCTTTACTATTCTTGAATTAGAATGTTGTTCATACTTGAGATTTTTGAGGAAATTTCAATAAATAAAAAAACTCATTTTAAATCAGCATGCTAACTTTTGTACATAATTTGCCAAGAAAAGCTTCTCTGTACAGTGGAACAAAAGCACATTTTAGTTTCCTTCTAATTAAAGGACTCTAACTTCATTACTTTTTATTAACATACTATCTAAAAACTCTTCTGGGTCTTGTACTGCTGACCCTATTCTGAGCTAGAATAGTAAAGACTATAACAAAATTTAGTTACAAGAGAATACTTTTTGCCAATCAAATGTTCATTTGTCAAACGAAATTCTCATCTTAAAATATTCTTGAATTAAGATATGCATTTGGCCTAGCAGTTAAGATGCTTAGGCAGTGGAAGGTGGCCCAAGTCCTTGTGCCCCTGCACCCGTATAGGAGACCCAGAAGAGGATCCTGGCTCCTGGTTCCGGCCATTACGGCCATTTGGGGAGTGAACCAGCGGATGGAAGACCATTCTCTCTCTCTGCCTTTGCTTCTCTGTAACTGCCTTTCTAATAAATAAATAAATCTAAAAAAAGAAAAAAGAAGAAAGAAAAGAAAAGAAAAAGACCAAGATGCCTTCATCTCATCGGAGTACCTGAGTCCAACACCTGCCTCTAGCCTCTTGCTAATGCAGACCTGGAGACAGGAGTGACGGTTCAAGTAGTTGGTTCCTGCCACCCACATGATTCAGTTCTCAGCTCCTGGCTTCAGCTCAGCCTGGCCCAGTGCCTGGCATTGCAGGCGTTTGGACAGTGAAGAGAGCTCTCCTCTGTCTCTCTCTCAAATAATTTTTGTAATGACCCTGAATAATAAATGGACTGTGAACAAACTAATAGGAGAAGATGGTTTGCTTTAAGTGTACTTTAAGGACCGGTAGCATCAGCTACACATCACCTGGGAGCTTTGAAATGTAACTGCTGAATAGCTTAACCAAAATGTAACTGCTGAATAGCTTAACAAAATTCCCAAGTAATTCATAGGCATGTGCATGTTAAAATACGGAAAAAATTCTAATCTTCATCAGTTATCCTCTAGCCTTGCTTCCCCATCAGAACCACTTTGGCAAACTTAAAACAAAAGCAAAAACAATTGCTGATTCCAAGCACTGTGTCCAGACTGAGTCAGAATGTCAGCGTCCACGTATTTCTATTTAAAAAAAAAAAAAAACAAACCCTTGGTGAGACCAATGGCAAGAAATAAATGAGAATTATTTATTCAAAAAAGATGTGAAGAACCTAAGGTTAAGGAACACTTGACTGATGTTGGTTCAGTTTCAGATGATGAGAAATATATTCAAAGAAACCAGCAAATGAAAGCTCACTCTGGCTCTGTCTTTCCTTCTCTCCCTGTCACTCTGCCTTCTAAATAAACAAACAAATCTTTCTATATATTCTAAAAAAGTTATCAGCCTACCTCTCAAGAAAGGTAAGTGCCTAAGTACTTAAAAACTTTCCAGAAAAAAATTCATTCTTATTATTTTTCTTAGACCATTCAATTCTCAGTGGGAAGATGCCATTTCAAAAGCTGTATTATAAGGACTAATTTTAAAACCAAAAGCTCCTTCACTGTGAAAGATACAAGACACCTGCACCTAGGCCTTTCTACCCATCAGTATTTTTAAATTCATCTATAAATGGTAGGTCAAACAAAGGCTTATTATCCATAGATCACGAAGCTCTGATGGTATTTAAGTATTTCTGACACAAAGTCAAGGAAGAATGAGGAAAAACTACCTGATGGTAGAATTTGGTCTCGTTCTTTTAATGTAATCCATGGCCTCGGAGGAAGCTGCTCTGGATGAACTGAAAAAAAAAATTTTTTGTAGATGTAAGTTAATTTTATATTTTCTAAAATCAGTTTTACTTTTTTTAATAATGTAAAATCAGCCTCCATAATGGTCCACAAATCAACGTAAGTATCTAATGATGAAATTTAATAAACAATTTAGAACCATAAGAAGTTTAAGAAGAGATGGGCAGAGAATAACAGAAGAAATGCTGAACGAATTAACGACATTTCCAAAGTATTTATGAAAAGTTTTTATTTAAAACATTAAGTAAATCTCATCTTAATTTTATATGTAAATTGTATTCATTTGGCTTTATTCCACAGAGAAATCAAAGCTATGTGAAGTTCCAACACACTAATGGATCAAAACACTCAAACATCTTTATAATAGAGAAATATATAAATGTATAATAAAAATAACTGAATTTCCATAAGGGGCTCTCATTTTCTGATTTTACTCTTTTATAATGTCAACACAGAGAAACAGATAAGACTGGAATTACATTGTATAGAAAAAGGAAGGCACTGGTTAAACATTAAATGCTCAGATGTAGTTATCAATATTATAGAACTTAAATGCCATCCAATTACCAGATGAAAGAAAATTCACTGATTTAAGATTTAACTGCTACCTTTTCTTCTTCCTTCTAAAAAATTTACTTACAGGACAACTTGATTCAAGTTTATAGATTTACCCATATTATTAGTGGTTGAGAAATGTATTCCTTTAAAACAAAACACCCTATCCTCATCCAGCCAGAAATTTTGACCATAGTAGTCCCAGATCTTAAAAAGTATTACTTTACTAAACCATTTTAGTGTTCCTAAAGTCTGTTATTTTGTTTTAGCAGCCATATTTTCAGAGTGAACATTTAATCACATATTCTGTATTCTGCCAGGAAAGAAACAAAGGTTACCACAGGAGCGCAAATAATTCATCCAACAGACTCAATGTACTGAATATTAGAACCACACTGTACCTGCTAGGAGCACCATTCCAGAATCATGGCAACTGTCTCCAAAATGAAAAGTCATATATACAAATCAAATTAATAGTAGTAAAAAAAAAAAAAGTTTCTAGCTCTTGGATTCTCAGCAAAACCTACATAAGGTGGCGTAGTTAAAAATTCACAAATCAGAGTGAACATTTGGCCCAGCAGTTAAGATTTAACTTTCATCTCATATTGGAGTGCCTGGGTTCATGTCCTGGTTCTGTTTTCAACTCCCCCTTCCTGCTAATGCACATCCTGAGAGGCTGAAGGGTCCCTGTCACGGAGAAAAACCAAATTGGGTTACAGGCTCTGGGCTTTGGCCTGGCCCACAAGCACCAGCTACAGTGGACATTTGGGGAATGAATCAGTGGATGGAAGATCTTTCTAGCTGTTTCTCTGCCTTTCAAATAAAAGTGATGGGCCTGCACCGTGGCTCATTAGGCTAATTCTCTGCCTGTGGCACCGGCACACCAGGTTCTAGTCCCGAATGGGGCGCCAGATTCTGTCCCAATTGTTCCTCTTCCAGTCCAGCTCTCTGCTGTGGCCCGGGAAGGCAGTGGAGGATGGCCCAAGTGCTTGGGCCCTGCACCCGCATAGGAGACCAGGAGAAAGCACCTGGCTCCTGGCTTTGGATCGGCACAGCGCGCCGGCCGTAGCAGCCATTTGGTGGGGGTGAACCAACGGAAGGAAGACCTCTGTCTCTCTCTCTCACTAACTCTGCCTGTCAAAAAAAAATGTTAAAAACTCAGAGATCAAGGAAATTCTCAAAATAAAATAAGTTAATGTCAACATCTTGGTGGTTCCCAAATCTTAACATATCACAACATATCAGTGCAAGTAGAATATATATTCATCAACAATATCCAAATAGCAAAAAACATATGAAAGGATTCTCAATCTCACCAGTAACCAGGAAAATTAAAAAAAAGATGAGATGCTTTGACATAACTTTTTTAAAATTTAATAATATCCAGAGTTGGTGACAGTGACAGGAAGCAGCTACTTTGCATGTACAGCTGTGTGAATACAAATTCATATAACTACCTGGAGAACAAACTGACATCATATTCTAAAATTTAAAAAAGCCATGTTCCCATATCTAGCAGTTATTTCCTGAGATGAGCCCCTTCTGCTTAAAACAGAATGTTTAAAAAGTATTCATCACAGCATTGTTTTTCATAACAAAAGCAAAGGTGAAATGGCTAAATTATGTCCATTTTAAGGAAATCTATGGTACAGATGAAAAGACACAAAATACATCAGGGTAATTTTTTTTAAAGATTTAAAGGCAAAGTTATAGAGAAGCAGAAGCAGAGAGAGAGGTCTTCTACCCACTGGTTCACTCCCCAGATGGCCATAACAGCCAGAGCTGCACCAATCCAAAGCCAATAGCCAGAAGCCTCTTCTAGGTCTCCCACACGCAGGCGTCCAAAGATTTGGGCCGTCTTCTACTGCTTTCCCAGGCCATAGCAGAGAGCTGGATCAGAAGTGGAGCTGCTGGGACGTGAACCTGAACCCACATAGGATGTTGGCATGGCAGGAGGCAACTTTACCGGCTATGCTTCAATTCCAGCACCACATCATAGTATTTTTAAAAGTTCATGGAGGAGCAGGGGTTCAGTCTAGCAATTAAGATGCCAGTCAATGTGCTCATGCCCCACACCAGAGTTCCTGGGTTTTAATAAATACCCAGCTCTGGTTCCTGATTCCAGCTTCCTGCTAACAAGGACCCTGGGAAACAGCAGTCAGTGGTGGCTCAAGTACTTGCGTTCCTGGAATCCACATCACAGTCCAGATGGTGTTTTCGGCTTCAGACCTTCAACCATTGCAGGAGTGAACCAGTGTATGAGAGTTTTGTCTTTATCTACACTTCTCAAAGTTTAAAGACAAGTTTTTTTCTTTTAAGTTCATAGAAAAATTACAACATGTTTATATTGGCATAAAAAAACTTTTGAAATTTGTGCAACTTTTTCCTAATAAGCATTTCTACAAACTTTCTGAAGTTTATAGAAATTTTTGAAGTCTGTATATGTGTTAAAAGTAGAAAAATATCCAAAGAAAACTGCTGAGTGAAAAGTAGAAAAAACAGCTCATGTACCAACCCTGCTGCCAATTCAAATCTTCTGCTAATGCAAGCTCTAGGAGGCAACATGTCATAGATGAAGTAGCTGAATCCCTGCCACCCAGGTGGGAGACCCAGATTTAGTCAGTGGTTCCCAGCTTTGGCCTGCCCCAGCCCTAGCAATTGTGGGCATTTTGAGGAGTGATAGCTATCTGTTTTTCTGTCTCTGCATTCCTCTGCCTCTCAATTAAATAATATTTTTAATTAAGTAGAAAGCTATACAATAAAATTATAATTTATTTGAAAATTCTAGAAGCACAAAAATTTAGAATATAAAATTTCTCCTGGTGTAAGTTTTGTACATAAATCAATGTCTAATAAAAGCACAAATATATACATCCAGCTTACAATCATGATTACCTACATGGGATAGATTGAGATAAAAGGTAATGGACAAAGGGAATTGTAGCTTAACAAGAATTTTAACAAGGTTAATAATATAGTCTTGTAAGTTTTTTTTTTAAACATTTATTTATCTGAAAGGCAAAGTTACAGAGAGGGAGGGAGGGAGAGGGAGAGGGGGAGAGGGAGGGGGAGGGGGGAGAGAGAGAGAGAGGAGAGAGAGAGAGAGAGAGAGAGAGAGAGAGAGAGAGAGAGAGAGAGAGAGAGACACGCAAAGAAATCTTCCATTCACTCCTCAAATGGCTGTAACTGCCAAGGATAGGCCAGGCCAGAGTCAGGAGCCAGGAGCTTCTTCCATGTCTCTCAACGTGAGTGGCAAGGGCCCAGGAACATGGGCCATCTTCCACTGCTTTCCTAGGAGCATCAGGAGGGAGCTGGATTAGAAGTAGAACAGCCAGGACTCAAAAGCGCCCAAGTGGGATGCCAGCACTGCAGGCCATGGCCTAACCAGCTAGGCCATAGGGCCAGCCCCTTCATGTGAGATATTTAAAGGCAATTTTTAAAAGACGAAGCCATCTGGTCAATAATAAGACTAAATATCAGAATAGTTACATGGGCTACTTTCTCATAAAAAAATAATAGTGATCCATTCTAATAAAAGCAGTATCTCCAGCTTCTAAGTGGCAACCCATCCGATATCTGACACTGGCTGACAGCAGTGGGCCTGCTTTGCCCACAGTGGAGGTGTCTGCTAAAACTGGAAGCGAGAACAACACCTACATGCTAAAGCTAAACAGGGCAACTGTCTGCCACAACTGAAGACTTAGAAATGATAAGAGTCACCTAACTTAACATCCAAAAAGCCTGGAGTACACATAAAAATCACTGGTCATATTAAGAACCAGGAAAATCACAACTAATAGTGAGAAGAGTCTATCATGACATTAACACTACATGAATCAGATGTTGAAATTATCTGACAGATTTGAGAGTATCCATCTCCTTGAACAAATAATTACAAATTCCTTAGAAAACTCTGGAGCACTGTAGAGTAATAGGTTGCGCCTCCATCTGTGGCACCATCATCTCATATGGGTGCTGGTTCCTTACCCAGATGCTCCTCTTCTGATCTAGCTCTCTTCTTGTGGCCTGGGAAAGCAGTGGAAGATAGCAAAGATGCTTGAGCCCCTGTTCCCACGAGGGAGAACCAGAGGAGGTTCCTGTCTCCTGCCTTCGGGTCAGCCCAGCTAAGGCTGTTGGGACCATTTGGGGAGTAAACCAGTGGATGGAAGACTTCTCTCAGTCTGTAACTCTGCCTCTCTCAAATAAATAAATCGATTTTTAAAATTAAGGGGGGGGGGGTGCTGTGGCACAGTGAGTTAAAGCCCTGGCCCGAAGTGATGGCATTCCATATGGGCGCTGGTTCTAGTCCCGGCTGATCCTCTTCCAATCCAGCTCTCTGTTATGGCCTAGGAAAGCAGTAGAAAATGGCCCAGGGGCCAATGCTATGGTGCAATGGCTTAAAGCCCCAGCCTGCATCACCACCATCCCATATGGG